ATGCCATCTTCTGTTGATAAGAATTCATAATATCTATTATATTTCCTTATGTTTTAATGGTTATAAATGCTTGAATCTTGGATTTTAATTATGTTTCGCATTTTATGGAGTAGATTGAGGAGTTAAATCAAATTGAATTCAAAATTAAGAGATTTGGTGAGGAAAAATCAGAGCTCAAAAAGATATATATATTCTAGAAGCGGTTTTTGCTTAAAGCTTGGGTACGTCCTGTTTTCCCAAAATGTTCACAAAAGCAATCAGTAGATAAAGCGTGAGTGCGCCTTACTGGATCTGAGGTTTTGACCTAGGATTACGAATTTGTTGGAGAAAAAAGATATGTATGACAATTGGAAAGATTTAGTTGCCCATTCTTATCTCTAGGATTTGCCAAGAATCCCTATTAAGGTGGGATTTGCTTCCTTATCTAGATAGGGTAACTATTATTAGATGGAGTAACTATTATAAATAGACATATTATTCACAAGAAAAATGCCTCTCTCTCTTCTCTTTTCTTTAGGCGTTCTTTTAATTATGCGCAGCTAAATACTTTTCTTCAAGAATTGTGAGATCTAATTAATTTTTAGTGTTCTTTTATTTCTTCACTATTTATATATCTTCCATATTTATTAAAAATTATTGTCTTGATTGATTGATGCAAATGGCCAGTTGTTCAATTATCTGGTTAATAAATTGCCATTTAGAACTTTAAATTTGTAATTATTTAAATATTCTAATATTAGTGGTAAAATAACATAGTTGATTATAGAGAGATTTTCGATTTATGTTATGAAGATATATAATCTAGTCTAAATGAATCGAGCTTGTATTTGTTGGCTAAAATTGGTAGTCTCTCTAATTATTAATGCTGTCGATAGATTAAATCCTAAAAGCTTGTTTAGGGTTGTTTATTAACAAGAAAAGTAATCAAAGAGCTTGTTTTGGTTATCGAGAAAGTAAGGAAAGATAGGTTGTTAGAGCTTGTTAATAACCATAACCAATTTAGTGAAGAATAGAAGATTTTATCCTTATATCTATGATCAATTCTTTGAACCAATTCTGAAATTATACCTTTGGTTGGATATTTGCCTGATAGTGATTTCTCCTTAATTTTTAGTTGATTATAATTGCTTTATTTTTTACTTCACTTCGAAATTTCAAAACCCCCATTTTTTTTGCTTTAATTTTCGTTAAAATAAATCTATCAAATCTCTGTAGATACGACCTTACTCATCACTGTTACAATTTATATTTTTTGGAGAGTGAGAATTTTATTCTTTGTTGGATTCGACACCCACCACGACTTCAAGTGATACGTTTCCTTCTTCCTCTAGCAAGTCAACCATGTCACCCAAAGTTAATACTCAAACAATTGACAGAAAAAATTTGTGTTGAGTTGCCAAAATGAAAGAATTAAACCCCAATTGGAAGCAAAAATATCTTATGAAATGGATAGAAGATACTCATGGTTTGAAGGTAAACCTTTAATGTAATATAACATATATTTTTTTATAATATAAATATAATTATAACTATATAGAAATAAGTTATATAATATAAATATAATTATAATTATAATTATATAGAAATAAGTTATTTAAGACGGAACTTGAAAAAATTATAATTTATTACTATGTATAGTTTACTTTTATTTATACTTAAAGTTATTTTTATTATTTTTATATAAAATATTATGGTATAGTATAACAACTATGCAACAATCACCTCCCATCACCCAAGTCCACCAGTACGTGATCTCCAATGATGCTGTCAAACCCAGACACAATTAAACCGCTGGCATCACCACTTTGATAAGCGTTGGAGGTGTCACAGAGCAAGTACTGTGTCTCTTCTGGTACCAGTTCAGGATTAACATCCCACGAGTGTTTATGCATCATTCTTAATCCATCTAATTCCATTACTACTTCTCTCATTGTAGGCCTCTCACCCCCTTTGACTCTTAAGCACATTTTTGCAATCTCACCCACTTCTTTCACCTGCTCTTTATTCCCATCATTTACTGTATCCTTCTCAACAATTTCAAATAAGCAGCCCTGTTTCAGTGAAGTTATATAGTACATAACAAGACTTCTCTCCTCAGGCCTATCAAACAAAAGTGCCTTCTTTCTTGTCATTAGTTCAACAAGGACAACATATACATCACTTTTTTCTGTCAGTTGGCTAGTATGCAAGTATTCTGGGTCTAAGTACCCAAGTGTTCCTCGTACCATTGTCGACAATTGAGTTTCATCAATTGGAACCAACTTTGAAGCTCAAAAATCAGACACCTTTGCTGTGAAGCTGTGGTCTAAGAGTATATTGGTGGACTTTATATCTCTATGTATAATTGGAGTCGCAGCAGCTGAGTGCAAATAGGATAGCACTCCTGCTGCTATTCTTAGCGTGTTTCCCAAGGCATGGTGGGTGCCTCGTCTTTATCATGAATATGTTCAAAGAGGGTGCCATTATTGATAAATTCATAAACTAGTAAAGGGACTTCAGTCTCTAAACAACATCCCAAAAGTCTGACCACATTTCTATGGTTGATTTGTGAGAGCACAACTACCTCATTTACAAATTGTTTAGTCTGGCTTTGATCTGTTATTTTGGACTTTTTTATGGCAATTGGGGTATTGTCTGATAAAAATCCCTTAAATACTGTGCCAAAGGCTCCTCGGCGAACGATTCTATCTTCAGCATAGTTACTGGTAGCCTTAGGCTCCTCGGCGAACGATTCTATCTTCAGCATAGTTACTGGTAGCCTTTTTGAGTTCTTCTGCAGTGTAGATTTTTGCAGTATCAGAAGACCCATTTCGTTTGGGCAGTTGCTGTTGCAAAAGAAAACCACCGTTTTGTTGAAAAAACTTCTCTTTCATTTAGATGAGCTTTCTTTTCTTCATCACCAAGTAGAGCCAAGAGATACTCACAAGCAGAACTATAAAAAGTATGCCAACACCTACATTTGAAGCATTCGAAACTGTTATACCATGATATTGAGATGATAAACGAGAAATACAATTGCTTAACTTAACCGCTACTTTACTTCAAAGTAATTTCTACAAAAGAAGTCTTGAATAAACATGAATTATAGCATGAAATACAACATACATAACTATTGCATCAGTTATCATAATAATGCATCTTCTGTGTATAGTAATACAATACAGAAACTTACCAATAGAGACCTTGACGACTGGAAATTGATTGGGTTCACAACCTTTTCTATCACCTCTTCCGTTCCGGTGGTAGCCCTTGGGGCACTCACATCTATAACTCCCTATTTCGTTGACACATGTATGTGTGCAGTTATGAAGTTCCGGATGCTCGCATTCATTAATGTCTTGAAAATCCATTGAAAGAAAGTTTATCACTTTAGAAAAACGATTTAGATTTAGAATTAAAATGCAATTTAATTCATCTAGAGAAAAGTACCTTGGCAACCATTGGAAAGGTATGGGTTTCCTCGGTAACCACTTTTGCACTCGCAAAGATACCCGGAATTGTCATCGTCAGATGCAGAACACTTGGCGTTTTCTTTACAGGCGTAATTTGTTGATGAGCTGCTTTCATTTCCACTAATGGACTGAAGAAGTCCCATTTCTTAAACATAATTTTTGAGCCCTTAGATTAAAACATTTGAATGGTTGAGATCACATTTTAATTATAGTATTTTCAAAGTATATTAATTATGCAAGTTGTATTGAATTCTAACCACCGAAAATCCTTGGATATAATAGCTCATAGATTTGTACTTTATGTTAAAACAATGTTGCTCCTGAACCTTCCACCAGCAGTAGATTGCGATTCGATGCTTATAATAATGTTCTTCTTAATTGTTTTATGTAGATGCTAGCATCTATGTAATTAATGAAATAAAGTTTTTCTTTTTTTTGTATGCTTAGAGTACGTTTGGTTCACGGGATTGGACTACATTAGAAGGATTATGACGACTATTTTAAAACTAAATCCTGTTTGGCTGCGTTAGAAGGAGAGGACAATATTAAAGTTTTGAGAACTCTGCACTATTAAACCAAAATTAATCACATACCCCCCACGCATTTTATCTGCAACAACCCAGGCTTTTAAACGAAAAAAGTTGTCAAAAAAAATTTTTATAAATACTAAAATAATACTAATAGAACAAAACGGTCGGCCTATCACCGTTGAGCTGCCGACAACAATAATACTGGTCATCGTCAATAATGAGTCTAGCATCACTATTGACTCCGCTGGATAGATTGTCGTCTGATTTATATAACGATAGAAATGGAGAAGTTGCCGACAACAAAGACATTTAGCCGGAAAATCCAAACTACAAGAAATTTAATGTTTAGGGATGAAAATTTTTGTCACATAAAGTGCAAAATTCGTCCTAAAAGGTAATGTGGGACGATATACCAAATTGTCCCCAAAGCCACGTCGCCAAAGGATAATGCCCACGAAATACGATTTCATCGTTAAAAATTATTTATTTTGTAACAAAATTTTTTGTCCACAAAAGAATAATTATTCATCCCAAATGACTCTGTTTCGTCCCCAAAAAAGGCACAATTAGGGATGAAAAATTTCGTCCCTCGTGGTGTGGTGAATTGGTGATGGAGAATTTCATCCCTCATGGTGTGATGAATTGGGGACGAAAATTTTTGTCCTTTGATTGGGTTGATAATATGATGATTAACCGTAATCCCAATTTATGAATCAACCAAACTAATGTTCCTTCATGATAATACCCAGATTCATTTTCACTTCACTATATAAACAAACAAAACAACAAAAGCTGAGTTTCCCAAATCAAATTGCACTTCTTTATTAACAAAAACTGTCAACATTACAATTCCTACTTACCCACTATCACATAATCTTCTAAGTAAGTTTCAGGATTCCAATCCCAAAAGAGTGAAACAAGAAACAAAATTGCAAACATCTTTGTTCTTTCCTATAGCCCAAAATCTTCAATGCTGTCATAGTTTCTTGTTTGCTTCCATCCCNTTAGAGAGGTTTGGTCAGCACTCAGGAACATATAAAAGGCTTGTGGAAAATGTTGAAATGAGAAGAGGGTTTCGGGGTCTTACCGACTCTGCAATGTTTCTACGAACATCTTCGGGGATCAATGCAAGGGCAGGAGGAAGTATGAAGCTTATATTCATCTCTAGTTGACCTTTAAGCCGGCTTCTTGGTCCTCGACTGTCAGAGTATAATGCTCCTTTTACGCCAAGAGAAAATTGAGACGGCTCGAGAACAGAATCAAGTCCTCTGAGCTCCCATCTTGTCTGAAAAAGAATGGCTTTGGAATAAATCCAAAGAGAATGATACAAAATTACGAAAAAAGTTCATTGATGTGTGACCATGACTTACAATGCCGAGCTCAAGAACCTTTTTGATATCACTTGGAACTCCTGGAGGGTAGTCTTTCCCTCCAGTTTTGCATCTCAACCTCATATCTATTACCGGCCAGACAGTCAGGAAGAGGAACTGTATGGGCAACATCTGAATTCTCCACTCCTCCTGCATAAATTACACATTAGAAGATACCAGAGGCAAAAGAATTGAAAAGGATAACCATAATTTATTGAAATTTTTCAGTGGTCATTTGGGGAAATGCCATGATTCCAATTCTCAAAAAACTAAGACTGCCTAAATGCAAAATACAAGGGTTGAATAGCTAAGCTTGAGCACTTCTGCCCTTTCTCCTAATGAACTACATAAACTAAACAAGTTTCTAGTTTTCATCCCCACAACACTTCTAAAATTTTGGGCAAGAGCATTGCCTTTCTAGCTCTCACACAAATAACTTTCTGTGCTGATTTAAACTCCTTCCCAGTAACTCAATTACTGTTAATTCGGGGGACTTCTTAATGGGAATTTCTCATCAATAACCAACTCAATACACACAACACAAATAACCAATTTTGTTATGGCTGCACTCTTTCAACGAGAGCTACATAATTAAGATGTGATCATAAGATTATTCAATTACACTGGCATAGAAATACTCCAGTCATTATACTCCATTCCTTGTCCTCAGAACCCTTTCGCTTGTTGCGCAAATCAGTATCCTTACTAGCATAAGAGGTCTCTATAATCCAAGATTGAACTTCCACAAAGATGATAAAGTATAATAAGACTTACTAATTACACCAATTATCAAACATTACAAATTCCTTATAACTAAAATTCTCCGGTAAACCCACAAATCAACCATGCTATAATCATATGACACAAAATTTATGCCTAATTAGTAATTGCTATGAACCACTATAGATCAAATAAAAACAACATTTAAAAGAAACCAAACCTCATTAAGTTGGTGGCTTCTTCGTTTTTCTGGAAAAATCGCTCTAAAAACTCTAGGTTTATCATCCAAGTACTGATCAAAGGAGGCCTGCAAATAGCAAACAGTCTCAAATCAATCAACACAAAAATCCCACCTCGAAAAATTAACAAATAAACAAAAGGGTATACGTATACCCCAGGAGACTCGTAGAATGGAATGTCAGTGGACATTCTTGAAGAGTAAGTGGCAGGCTTCATTGTCATTTGGCCCTTGACCACTAAAAAAGAAGCCTGTGAATTTGATCTTTTGGTTAACATTAATGCATGGCTATGGTATTGATATTGATGTTGATATTGCCATTCTTGCTTCAGCTTCAGTTTGCATGGCGCAAGAGAAGAAGCTGCAAGTTCACTCATTTGTTGAGTTTGTGGCCTGTTTCTTTGTTGTTTTGTGTTTTGAACAGAAAATTTGAGAATGAGGGAGAGGAAAGTGAAATTTGTGTTTGGAAGAAGAAAGGTACATTAGATAAGCATATCTTGATTAGGCTGTTGTTGTCTATGTGGCACTCTTACAGGGACTTCTGATAGTGCCGTGGGCCTACTTCTTACTCTTCATTTAGTGGTTGTGTTGTGCTGTGTCCACTCGCTGTTCGAAAGGACAAAGATTCATGTGGACACAACGTGCTTGGTTTGGCCAAAAACGGTTTTTCTTTCAATTTTGGGAAATCAACGCTATCATCCTCCGATAACAATTTTTTTTTTTTTTTAGAAAGCCTCTAGTCTCCGCATACCTAAAAGTATGAGGCTAATCCCAATCAGAGCTTAGATAAATCGGATAAGTATCCTTGACCGCATATTTAAAAGTATGAGACTAATCCCGATTAGAACTTAGATAAATCGGGTAAGTATCCTTGACCACAAGGTGATTCTAATGCTGTTCAAATCCTTGACATTATAAGTAAAATTCGTCTTATTGGCAATTCAGTTACCAATTGGACCACACCTCATAATTCCTCCAATAACATTTTTATCAATCATATGTAATGGTTCCAGGGATTAAAAAATACATAGAATACACTACTAATATTTTTGACTTAACAATTCATTGTTTTCGATAAGTGGTTGAATGTTTTAAATGAGAATGGTACAAAAGATATGTTGAATAAACATATTTGGTGGAGTCGGTGAACCTATTCATAAAGGAAATGTATCTTTATATGAAAATGAAAGAATATGGCGTAATTAATAAACAAAAACTCGTAGAATCAAAAGTGGCTCTAGTCTATGGTCAGATGAATGAACCGTCAGGAGCTCGCATGAGAATTGGTTTGATTATCCTAATTATAGCTTAGCATATTTCCGAAATGTTAATGAACAAGACATACTTCTATTTATTGATAATATCTTCTATTTCATCTAAGCAGGATCCATTAATTTGAGCAGGATCCATTAATTGAAGATGAGTCATATACCAATTAGAAGATGCTGCCATATATATATATATATAGAGTTTGTTAAAAGGGTTATAGTTTATTANCCTTAGCCGTCTTCTTTTTATTGCTATTTTCACTCCAATAAACCACTTGGTTAGAACCTGGTTTGCTCGGAGTTATCCATGACACTATCACAGCACTCCCCTCATGATCTCCTTGTGTTATATGAACCTATATTTGGAACAATTTCACGTCAAACTTTATTAAAGATTCAAACAGTAAAATCATATAATGAAAGCGTGAAGATATATATAAAGAAGAAGTACCTGCTGAGGAGCATTGTAGCCAGGAGGGACTTTAAAGACATCGCTATTAAGAGGCATATCCTCAAGCTCCTCAAGTTTCCTGATATATCTGCTAGTTGTACGTCCATTACACAACACTGCAATGTTCAAAACCAAGCACAAAAATACAACTAAAGAAGAAGAAGAAGAAGATCCAAGCACACCCATTTTCTTGCTTGCCTTGAGCACAGCCTACGACCTTAACCGCATGCATATATATATATATAGTAATATTCTGCATCTATATGTGAGATGTAATATAATATATTTCTCTTTTCTTCACATGTTTATATATTTGTGAGATGAGATATATGTACAACTCATCGATATAATAAAAAAATGAGTTTACACTTACAACTTAATTTTAAAAACTTTCTCTTCCTATCTCGACGTAGCAGCTTGTAATTGATCAAATCATAAATAGGTCCCGCTTACTCATTATAGGTCATATCTACTTGATTGCGAGCTGTCACGTCGGATTATGAGAGAAAGTTTGTAAGATTGGGTTGTAAACTAATCTTTATACTCTTATTAAAGGTACAATCGAGTTCAGCAACAAGACGTTTGTATCTACAAGGTCTCTAAGGTTTCCATCCCTTATTTAGTAATTATATAGTCGAAACTATTATCTCTCACATATCCATAAATAATTTAGATAGTGTTGATGCGTGATTTTGACACCAACGAAACGCACGTGTGAAATGTTGAGCTGGCCCAAAAGACACACGTGAATGTAAAGGAAAATGACAGTAAATACAATGGGGACAGTTTTTAAAGTGGTTCGGATGCTAAGGTAGCAAGTCCTACGTCCACTGATACTTATATTGATGATAAGGGTCAGCTCGCGTTAGCTGACTGACTTTACAATGGTAATACAAGGTATCAAATGCTGTCTTTTCTAGAGAGAGAAAGTGGCTGGTGCAAAGTACAAATGTGCGAATCCCCTTAATGAGAGAGGAGCTCTCAATTTATAGTGGGATGCATTGAGGTAATAATCACTGAATACGTAAGTTGGTGGAATGATCCGTGCAAATCCTTCTTTATGTCACATTACACATCTTCAAGAGTAATTCACGTGATTTGCTGCAGGGATTGGACACACGTACATCCTCTAACCTTTCTTCAGTCTGGCGCGTACCCACTGTACCGACAGGAGTGCACTGCTTGCATCATCACACGACGCGGCTGCGTCAGAATGTCAGTAAACTCTTCCCGAGATCTAACCCTTCGCACTTAACTGGGTGCCACATCAGTCCTATTTTTCCAGGCATAATAGATAGTTATGATAAATTAAAGATCTTATAGATAGACGTACACTTTCATGTTCAATTTTCCAGTTGAGTGTTCCGATTTAATTGGGATGAGGTTCCAGGAGAGTTTGAGCGTATTTTTTTAAAGTTATTATGTGATTTGTGGGCTGAAAATCCGGTAAATCACATGCTTAATATTGTGTCTATATTTAACACGTGAGGATATCATTTATTTTATTGAAATCGAGATCATTAATTAAAGCAATCCCATGTGAGAAAATATTACTTCTAAATCCTCTTTAATTAAGTGAAAATAAAATTATCATTTTCGTGTGTGAAACCCGAGTTCTATTATTTTATTATATTGTTTATCATTTCGAGTGATGAGATTATCGTGGAGTGGAAACGAATATGAAATTATTAATTTTATACATTGTAATAGATATTATAAATTTATCTAATGTGTCACGTTATTTAGTATTATCAATATTATTTACAGATCACTATCCGAATGGTTTGATGATCATCAAAAAACATATGAAATTCTAATATGATCTTTAAAATTCGATTCTCTTTAATGATATAAAAAAAAAAAAAAATGGTCTAACATGGTCTCTCGAGTTCAAGTCTCCATGACCCCTAATAGGATAATCATTGGAACTTTTATCTGACCGATAGTTTCAAGATCATAGAAGATTAATTAAGGTACTCGCAAACTTACTCGGGAGGATTAATTAAGTTACACGCAAGCTGATTAAAAAAAAAATTATCATTTATAAATTATTTATGTTTACATGTTGATGCAATATAAAAAGACGTCACTTGAAATAAATAAATATATAAATAAAACTCAAGATATTACTTAAAAGTTTGACATTATCTTGCAGTTTGGATTAAGATCTATTGATAGAAGAGAAAATTTTTGGTAGAACATGATAATAGATTTATTTTATTGGTTTGTGGAAAAATTAATTAAGGGAGTATTCTAAATTTGTATAAATACAGACACAGAATATTAAAGAGGCTAGCCATTGTATTGAAGTTTGGACCAAGACTCACAATGAGTTTACCAATAAAGAGAGCCAGGTAACTGGACCAGACTCACCGGGCACTCCATGGCCCATGATGCAAAAGAAAAGCTAAAAAATTGCATATTTTTGCAGTGGGCGCGGCACATTTCAAGTAGTGTTAAAGTTAGGATAATACTATTTAGAGGTGAAATAAATGGATCGGGTTAAATGGATTAACCCTAACTTAGTTCGTATTAAAGAGAGTTTAACCCGGACCGTTTTATAGGCAGACCGGGTTAAACCCAACCCGCATTTAACCCCAGGCGGGTCGGTTTGCTATATGGCAACTCGCCAATCCATCGGGTTAGCCCCAAAAAAATTAAAAAAAATAAAAAATTAATTATTTTTTTCAAGTTTCTCCCATTTTTTTAATTCTTTTAATTAAACTATTATGATTGAACTCTTACAAATAATTTTACATAATAATATTAAACTATACTTCTAAATCATAAATATTAAAATGTATAAAACTTTGTAATATTTGACACATTGTTATTATTATTTTTTATGGTATGTAAAATATAAAAAAATTAAAATACTGAAGTCTTATTCTTAAATTTTCATGTCTTGTATAAAATATAATTCATTCTTATGCTAAAGTTTCATCAATTGAATGAATAAATCTAATTTTTCTTATATTACAATTTTATTGTATTAAAATTGAATTAATATTTGAAATGTTAATAAATAAATAAAATTAATTTAATTGAATTATTGATATTTGAAAAATTAACTAAAAACGATTACATTTATTCATTTATAAATCGTTAATTATTTATTTGAAAAGTTAACTAAATAAAAAAAAAAAAAAAAAAAAAAAAAAAGGTTAACCCGGCCCGACCCGCAGCCTAACCCGGCGGATTGGGCCAGCCATTACTCCAAAAATGGCGAGCCTAACCCGGCCTACCTTTGTTGGCAGGCAGTTAGGACCAACCCGCCAAAAAAAGTAACCAGTCGCAGGTCGGGTCGGGTCGGGCCGGTTACTTTTCCACCTTTAATACTATTTTCACAAATCCTTCTTACTAATTTTCTCTCACAAACACAATATGACAGTTTATAATAAGTCTCACATATCTAGTAATGATGGGTCCAACTTGACCAATTGCAAGATATCACATCGCGTTTATGAGAGAAAGTTAGTGAGAAAAGTTTATCAGCCTA